TCACTCTTTTCCAGCTTCTGCTTATCTGGTGCGTTGAGGGTTCCGGAAGTGTTTGAGGAGAAAGATAGAGGTTTTAAAACTTGAAAATAGAACTAAAATGAAAACGAATTTAGAACACCAGCAGAAAAGCTAGTGTGGTGACGAGCTAAATGCAAAACAAAAGGCAGTAATCTAGTCAGCATTTTCCTTTCTCTTTCTTTTCCATCACTTTAAAAAGCGATTTTTGGAATCTTAAATTATTGTTTCCAGATTAAAGACTGAAAGAATNAGGACGTGCCGGCGTCGCGGTGCGCTGTGTTTTGCTTCGCTGATTCCATCTCTCTTTCCNGCTGCTGATAGCTAAGCTGCCCGCTCTCCCTCTCTCGCCTTCGCAGTGCAATCTCGCCGAAAGCACGTTTTTCCTGCTCTGGTCGCAGAGGACGTGCCGGCGTCGCGGTGCGCTGTGTTTTGCTTCGCTGATTCCATCTCTTTTTCTCACTCTTTTCCAGCTTCTGCTTATCTGGTGCGTTGAGGGTTCCGGAAGTGTTTGAGGAGAAAGATAGAGGTTTTAAAACTTGAAAATAGAACTAAAATGAAAACGAATTTAGAACACCAGCAGAAAAGCTAGTGTGGTGACGAGCTAAATGCAAAACAAAAGGCAGTAATCTAGTCAGCATTTTCCTTTCTCTTTCTTTTCCATCACTTTAAAAAGCGATTTTTGGAATCTTAAATTATTGTTTCCAGATTAAAGACTGAAAGAATCTGCTCAACCTAAAGCAAAAACCGAGACAGAGTGCAAAACAGAGAGAGAGAGAAGAGCACTTCTCACTTCCCGGTTGCCGGCCGAACTTGCAGCGTGCAAAGTGGGCGCACCGAGCGGTGTGCTCCTACGTCACACACACACACTCGCTGGGAGGAGAGGAAGCGTAGCGCAGTCGATGTTGACATGAGCAGCGGCAGCAGCTCCACCGCCACCACCATTTTCCTTACCTACTGTGCGCGTGCTGCGTGTAAACTAGCTCACCGCCTCATCGCTCTCTCTCTCTTGCTCGCTCAGCTCAGCTCATTCTGCCTGCTACCAGCCCACTGGTAGCGGACAACACCNGAGAGAGAGAAGAGCACTTCTCACTTCCCGGTTGCCGGCCGAACTTGCAGCGTGCAAAGTGGGCGCACCGAGCGGTGTGCTCCTACGTCACACACACACACTCGCTGGGAGGAGAGGAAGCGTAGCGCAGTCGATGTTGACATGAGCAGCGGCAGCAGCTCCACCGCCACCACCATTTTCCTTACCTACTGTGCGCGTGCTGCGTGTAAACTAGCTCACCGCCTCATCGCTCTCTCTCTCTTGCTCGCTCAGCTCAGCTCATTCTGCCTGCTACCAGCCCACTGGTAGCGGACAACACCACCAACATCAGCAGCTCTTCCAGCCCGATCCAAATCCTAAAACCAACTGACCAGCAACTCCCGCCCGGCGGAATCCTCGATCGGCTCCATCCACACCCGATTCTGCACTGCGCAAGGTTCCGCTACCTCCCGGACTGTAGGAGCAGCCTATCTCTCGCTCTCCTGCGCGGCGTGCCTATCTATCTCTCTCCCTCTCTCCAGAGAGTGTTCTTCAGCCAGCGAGCACTATCGTCTGACACCGCCACCACCACCACCGAAAGCTGAGAGCGTGGCCAGGCATCATCAGTGCAAGCAGCAGCAGCACGACCACGACCATCACCGCCGCCGACGACGACGACCATCGGCGCTCGCCACGACGCTCGGCGTAACTCTCTCTCCTCTCTCTTTTTCTCTTTCTCACTCACACACACACACTTTCACACCGTGCACGGCGACAAACACAGACAGAAAGCGCGGTCAGGACACACATTATCATCCGATCACCACCACCACCACCACCACCAACTCCAGCAGCCAGCCCAGCTCCTTCCCTAGGCGCCCATGATCATGGCTTCGGTCTCTCAACCAGCCGCGCCGGCTACCGGTAAGTAAAGTGCCTAGTGCCTAGTGCGCTTTGTTTTGAAATAGAACTCATTAGCCTAAGGTGACTCATGCCCTCTGACCACTTCTTCTGCAGGCAAAGGCAAGGGGAAAAAGTCCTCGAAAGGACAGAAGCTGGACATTGACGACTTCGTCGACAGCTCCAACTTCAAGATGGTGGCCCCCAGCTGGGCGGACGAGATGGAGGACGAGGTCGTGATTGCCCCCAGTCAGCACCACAGCCTTCCCAGCGCGCCCAAGTCCGCCCTCGGCCCGGAGGTCGACCTGGCGGCCATCCCCACCATAGGCCCCTTCAGGGCGCACGTCACCAACCTGCAGTACGAGGTGACGGAGGATCAGCTGAGCGATCTCTTCAAAAACTTGAATGTAAGCGACCTGCTAATGTGATAATAATGTGCTAATGTTGACGCTTTTGCTAATTAACTGCTTTCCCCATTCACACTTTTTTACAGATCACCAGCCTTCGCCTGCACTCGGAGAATGGCCGCCCGAACGGCACGGCCAACATCGAGTTTGGCACTCGCAACGACCTCATCGACGCCCTCAGCATGTCGCAGAAGATGCTCAACGGCCGCGCCGTGAAGATCTACCTGCCAAATCAGGATCGCTACGGTATGGGTAAGACTGGGAACTTGTTATTTTATAATAAAGCAAAACACACCTAACCAAACTTTTTCCCTTTTGCAGGCGACGGTGCTCGTCGAGGCGGTCGCGGCGGCGGCGGCAGCTACACCGACAACACGCCCATGAACTGGCGTGCGGCGGACCGCACGGCGCCGCCCTCGCGCGGCGGCGGCGACGACCGCTACCCGCCCAAGAGCGACCGCGTCTTTCCCCCGCCCACGGCAGGCTTTGGCGCCGACCGCGGCTACGGCTCGCGCGGCGGACCTCGCCGAGACGGCGGCGGCGGCTTCGGCGGCGGTGAAGGAGGCGGCGAAGGCGGCGGCTCATTCCGCAACCCGCGCAACGACTTTGCCGGCGGGTACGGCGGCGGCCGCGACTACGACCGAAGAGGAGGGCCTGACCGCCGATCAGACCGATACGGAGGCGGCGGCGAAGGAGACGGCGGACGCAGTGGCAATTGGGGCGGCCGCAGCAGTGGTGGCCCCCGTGAGGGCGGCGAAGGCGGCGGCCAGGAAGGGGGCGAGAGCAACTGGCGCAGCGCACGCGCCGAAGGAGCCGGCCCTCCTCCGCCCACCTCAGACTATGGTCGACGTGATATGAACCGAGAGGGCGGCGGTCCGCGAAGCGACCCCTACGGCGGTGCCCCGCCCAGAAGTGGCGGCGGCGGCGACGGCTATGGACGGCGAAACCCGCTCCCGCCGCGCGCCCCCGGCGACGAAGACCTCTACGCCCC